TTCTTTATAAACGTTCTTTTATGCATAGATGTACAAGAGATATATAATACAATTTCATTGTATGTTCGGCATAAACGCAATTAGGACCAGCATGATGTCGGTTAGAAAACATTTATTTAGTCTCAGATGCATGATTTTTTATATAAGTTGTTATTGGCTTTGAACTAGCTGTCAGTAACTGCGAGTACTCTAAGATCTGTATCAAAGTTAGTGTCTTCTTGTTGTTGGGATGTACAAGTTCCCGGTCATGTCCACGTGTTTTTGTTATATGTATTCTATTTGTATCCATCTGATAAGTTAAGCCTTTTTCAACTGATTTTTATAGTTCGTTCTTATGTTGTACTGTAACATCACTGTCCAAGGTTAGGGGGAAGGTTGGGTTCCCGCTTACATGTTTAACACCGCCACATTCTGTATGTATATGCCTGTCCCAAGCCAGGAGCCTGTAATTCAGTGGTTGTCGTTTGTTGCTGTGTTACATATTTGTTTTTCGTTCATCCTTTTGTACATTAATTAGGCTTTTTTTTTTCTAGTTTGAATTGTTTTACATTTAATATTTCGGGACCTTTTATAGCTGACTATGCGGTATGGGCTTTGCTCATTGTTGAAGGCCGTATGGTGACATATAGCTGTTAATTTCTGTGTCATTTGGTCTCTTGTGGAGAGTGTATACCATATCTTTTTTATATTCACTTATGCTAGTATATTATGGGAAATATACATTGGCTCCCTTTCATCCAACTATAGGTAAATTATAGCAATATCTTTTAAAACTGTTGTCAGTACATCTGTTTTAATGGGGGGGGGGGGGGGGGGGGGGATATGCAAGAGCAATAGCGAAATTAATATTAGTTTGAGCTGCTACTACTACTAGTATAACATAGAGGGGATGAAGGGTTGCCTTGATAAATAATCTGGGAATGATTGAAAATTAAGAAAAAGTGTCAAATACGAAATTAAAGTCACCTAAAGAAAATTTGAAATTTAATCAAAAAAATATTTAATAGGATTTGAACATTTTTGTAATAATTACATATTTGGTATCAAAACACATACTAAATTGAAAATAAGTATTATAAATTAAGTATAAACAAAATCAACAATGGCAAAGTGAAATATCATAGTTTTTTAGAACCTAGAATTATAGATTTTTTTTAAATCTAAACATTAGAACAAATTAAAACAGGTATTGATTACAGAGTTGAAGCATTTATTTTATACCTCACAGGTACGCGAACCTGATAGAACGCATGGTGCCCAAAATGTAATTACATTGAAACTATGGATTCATAATATGTACAACTCTAGATCTACCACTGGTACCTGTTGATTAAATGCGTGCAAATGTGATGGACCACTACCACTATATGTTGAAAAAGTATTGTTTTCTTAATTTCTGGACTGGTAATCGCAATGTGCAAATTAAAGTACAGCGTCCATGGAAGCCGGGCCATGCTTTCAATGTCAATGAGGATGACACAGATTTATAAATTGACATGTATAGCGTATATGTATTATAAGTTGTTGACTTCACAATTACCATATAAAACGCCACAAGTGAGTGTTTACTGTGTATGACATACAATCGAAATAAAGTGAAGAATTTTTAAAGGGGGAGGGGTGAAAATTTACACCAAGATCAAATTTTCATGGGGTTCAAAATAACTTACATGACAGATATAAAGGTGGACGAGTTATAAACAATGAAAATATCTGAAATTTCAAAATATGAATTTAAAAAAAAACATTGTAAATCAATCTCAATGCCGTTTTTAACCAATGGCTAAAACGTAACCAGCAAAAAAGTACCGGTTAAATTTATCCGGCGGATAGCACGTTTTATCCACTGGATAAATTTTGAGCAATAGAAATAATCCATTGGTTTAAAGTTAACCAGTGGATAAGCAGTTTAACCACTGGCTAACACTATCCAACGTTTTGAGCAACCCAATCTTTTAGTTTATACGTGATGCCCGTTTACAATAATCTTATAGAATAAAAAAGAGTGGCATCACGCAGTATATTAAACAGCTTTTTTTTCAAGAAAACATGTCACCATATATATGTCGTGTACAAGTTGCGATTTTGTACATGTTATAACCTGTACATAAATATTGCACATGTTATAACTTGTACAATACAAAAATACAAGTTATAACTTGTACAATGCAAAAATACAAGATATAACATGTACAAAAGTACCTCGTACATGTTATGACATGTACAACATATTGCTTAAAAATGGCATCATTTGAATTTTCAATTATTTAGTTTTATTCTAAAGATGAAGGGCAAATTTCCCCTAAATTTGTTTCACTTGCAGGGACAAAATCCAAAAGTTTTAAGACCTACCAAGAGGCGGATTTCAGGGGGCGTGGACCTCCATTTTGTTGAAACAATTTGGTTGATTGTTTAGGGAATCACTGGAGCGGGCCCCCTCTTATGGTAGTCAGTGGGCCCCCCAACACTTATGAAAATTTCTGGATCCGCCACTGCTACCCAATTGTACTATGTTACGTACTATTAAATTGTTTCACATACCAATATCAATTTAACACCAGGTCTTTAAAATAAAAGTGTGTATTGATCAATCAGAACTCTCAAATTTTAAAAAGTGGGACGATCGGGAATAAACCTAAATAATCACAACAAATTTTTACACGGATGAGTACATGCGATGAGCTAATATATATCATACGGTAATTAGAGAAAGGTTCCGATTTAAGTATTCCTTAGTTAAGTGAAGACTTAAGTAAGTTGATGCATACGACTTAAGAATTTTACTTAACTAAGGGAATTCTTAGTGAAATCTAAGTTTAAGGAACACTTAAGTTATGATGTTTTATGCATACGGGCCCAGCTGAAGAATAGTTTTTATAATTATCTAATACCTTTTAAAGCGCACATATAGTCAACAAAACGTAATAATCATAATTCAGTATTCTCAATCGATGAATACTGATTGTGAGTTTCCCCACAGAAGGCTATAGGAAAATAAGTTCATAATAGTTGAGAATTAAGATGCAAGTAAATTGCCAGGTAAGATTTCCCAATGAAATCATTGATGTGTCGAGGAAAAATTTCTCTGCAAACAATACCATGTTTTCAAAGGAGAGGGTAGAAATTTAAAACATCAATATGACATTCATCTCATGCAATATTAGTCTGATTAATTATCAAACAATAATAGTTTGATGAACAAGATTTACATCAGCTATGCTCAAGGCCAAAATTGTTGAAGAGCAGATTTAATAATTCCAAAGTTGTATATTATTAAGCGTGGTCTAATGAAAATAATTTTCGTTCTCTGGCTTTTATAGAGCATGCATAGTGGACCTAGCTTTAGTGTTTGTATGTTAAAAAAAGAGGGAGGAGGGTAGACTTCAAAACGTTAATACAATATTAAGATGAACCAGTTATCTACTTTGTTGAGGAAATGTATGCTATTATTAAACATCCACACTGCTGTAGGCCATGTTGGACTGAATAAAACAAACAATGACATGAAAACACATTCTGCCAACAAAGGCACTGAAGCAATAAAGATATTTCTGAAACGTTGTGATCACTGTGCTCTAAATGTTCTCATTATTCAACAAATATCAAATGTATATTCTGCTTTATTTGAAATAATTTTCAAATGTTGTACAAGTTAAAACCATTTTTAAGCAATATTTCTATACATGTTATAACATGTACTTTTGCATTGTACAAATTATAACATGTACAATATTTCTATACATGTTATAACATGTACTTTTGCATTGTACAAATTATAACATGTACAATATTTCTATACATGTTATAACATGTACTTTTGCATTGTACAAATTATAACATGTACAATATTTCTATACATGTTATAACATGTACTTTTGCATTGTACAAATTATAACATGTACAATATTTCTATACATGTTATAACATGTACTTTTGCATTGTACAAATTATAACATGTACAATATTTCTATACATGTTATAACATATACAAAATCGCAAATTGTACACGACATATATATATATATCGATAAAAATCTGAAATGACATAAATACCATTTTGATTGATATCCCACGCCACATCATATATGTGCCTGTCCAATGTCAGGATCATATAGTTCAGTGGTTGTCCTTGGTTCTTCAGTCATATAAGTTTTGGTAAATGTGTTTGGGTCTAAATTAAACTGTTAGTTTTCTCGTTTGAATTATTTAAAATTTTTCATGTCAGCGCCTTTTATAGCCGACTATACGGAATGTGTTCTGCTCATTGTTGAAATCCGAACGGTTGCTTTTTATTGCCTAACGTCATAGTACCCAAATGACACACATTTAGCAAAAACACCGACGGAAATCTTGCAAGTTCTCTTAGAAACTAAACAATTTGTATTTTTACAATTTGACATTATGCACGTCTCACTAAAAACATATTCAAATATACACAGAACGTTCACAGAATATTAAAACAGATGAACTTTCCACTGGAATTAGTCAAATCTATAGAAACGTTGCCACGCGACGTCCGCTAGAAGTCAACTTTTAAAAATAAGCAATTAAAATTTGTTACCGGAATATATTTCTTACAAAATGAAAAGTAAGTATGGACTCATGTAAATTGTTCTAAATATTTCGAGAAATAAAACAAAATATCAATTATTCTATTTTTACAAATTTAAATTTAAGCATGAATGCAATTTGGGTACTCCTCGTTACAGAATCATGGATTGTTTGGAGTTGGGTTCAAATTAATTTTTCAATGATTTAATATAGATTAAAATAATTTGGTAGAACAGTAAAGCATAAACGGATACATCTACAAAATAAACACAAAATGGAAACTTGTTTGAATCATAGATTAACGTAGGTGAAACACTATCAACATAATGAAATTTGGGTACCCTCACCGACACGTTACATTTACTTCATTCTAACTCTGTTGTATGGTTGTCTCATTGGCACATTTCCTAATTTTATAATTTGTATCTAGGAATTGATTTTTTTTTTACCTTTTCAGCACTTTTTCTCATAAACTGTTTGGCTGTGTCCGTCCAAATGGCCGGAACAGTAAGTATCCACTTTGTTTTCCTATCGTCAAGTACTATATTCTTTATTTCGACGGTACTGTTAAGGTGGTCTTTTAGGGCTTTAATTGACAAGGAAAACACGTCTATAGCAGGTAGTGGTTGACCTCTTACATCTTCCAGGACCATAGTCATAGTAATATTCTGAAAAAAAATTCTATGTTTTGTCAATATAGTTAAAAAGCAACACACCTAATGTATAAAAAAATGTTCATTTAAATTCTATATTTTTCCTGTTGCATTAAAGGCAATTCTAAGTCAGGAACCTGTGGTTGTTCAGTGGTTGTCGTTTGTTGGTTTGGTTCATAAGTGTTAACTGTTCTCCTTTTTTTATATAGAATAGACAGTTTTCCGGTTTGAATGGTTTTACATTAGTCATTTTTAGAGCCCTTTAAAGCTTGCTGTTCGATGTGAGCCAAGACTCCTTGTTGAAGGCCGTACTTTGACCTATAATGGTTTACTTTTTTTGCAAACTGTGACTTGGATGGAGAGTTGTCTCATTAGCACTAATACCACATCTTCCTATATCTACTAATTGCTGTATGAACTATTCTAAAAAGTAAAATTTCCAATATAAAGGGTTTATGAGGACTTGATTTCAAATTCTTTTCAGCAAGTTTTAATTGTTTGGATGCAGGATAGGTGCATATAAATCTGTCAGTAGAGACCAGAAATAACCTTCTATAAACCGGAAGTAGCTTATAAGCTCCCTCATTTAAGGCAAACAAAAGTACTCATTAACCATACATGGTTTCCAACATATAATTTCTTGAAAATTTCTAAAGCAATTTTTTTTAGATATTTTTTTTATAAAATTATATATTTTACACAGGCGGTGCGAGAACGTAATTGGTGATTATAGGACTGAGCGTAGCGAGTCGTTTTTTTATCATTTTATGCCAATAAATGATACTTTTTTCACTCAAAAGACCATGCCACACGTATCCACCACTGTTATAGTTATAAAATATTATAAGTGTTTTAAAACACCTGTATTAACCTTGTTATTATGAAGATTCATCTTAAACCTATGAAAGAAGTAGTAATCATCGACATTTCCGTCCAATACAATATCTGCATACTGTTCCTCTGCTTCATACCCAAAAACTGATACTTTTCTATCTTTAGAGAGCAGCAGACACGTGGGGGTCTTTAAGGATGCAACTTCCGTCGTCCCAGAATTCCAGATCTGATTAGATAAGATTTCTACATCCTTCAGCTCAGTTTCTGGTGCACTAACTGAAAATGCATATCCAGAATATGTCGTACCAAAGTCTATGGCGGCTACATGGACAGCCATCGTTTATCACATGTAACTTGAAAATCTAAATAAAAATGTGTTGCAGTGCGGAAAAGAGCTTAAAATCATATGATACGAGTTACTGGTGAGAATAATGTTAAAATAAGTTGTTGAACCAATGCATGCATATAATTATAATAACAAATACATGTATGTTGAATTCCATTTGACAACAGTCGCGTTTAAAACAAATTAGTTAAGAAATAATTCATGAGGGTTTGAATTTATACTGATTTTACCACGGGTTGGCCCTTTATGCTAAATATTTTACCACGAGCGACAGCGAACATATTTCATTGGTTGATTGTTGAGCAAATACGTTGGCTGCTACTTACATGGATAACAATAATGGAACCATTTTTGATATGTCAGATGTGCTTTTCAACAAAAGGTAGCCATCAAGTGTTTGTTCAGAAGGTACCGATTGTGATATAGATACACAATTAACTCACAATCGGTACCTTCTGAACAAACACTTGATGGCTACCTTTTGTTGAAAAGCACATCTGACATATCAAAAGGTAGCCATCAAGTGTTTGTTCAGAAGGTACCGATTGTGATATAGATACACAATTAACTCACGGAACCATGGAGCACGTGAAAAAGTAACTCATTAGAAATCATTGACATTATCATAATGATTCATGAATGCATCCCTTTTAAAATTGTGTCTGGTTAACTACAAAATGTTATTTGTTTCAATTGATTTAAATCTTATTTGTTTTCGTTTTGCTTACATAATCGACAATTGTAGCCTTTTTGGGTCCTGCTTTTTCACTATGTAAGGTCCATTGAAAAAAATGTCAAATTCGGAATTATCAATACTTTGTGTGTAAATAAAACTGCAAAACACGTATGATGCAGCAGCTTTTTTGAAAGAAAAATGGCATTTTTTTAAGTGTGCTCAACGGTTCCGGAATTTTTGAAATAGTATAAATGAAGAACACCCCTTGCTTAATTTGGCATAGAAAATATTGATCGTTACAGAGAGTTTTCTCAAAATTTCTCGCTATTTCTACACTAATGGCCAACACTCATTTATCACTATTCAAATTTTGATTTCTAATTACCAGGGCAGCAGAAAATAAACATACTTCTACATATCATCTTGCCAGTACTCATCTTTAATTACCTAGAATGAAGGTCGGGAAAATTTGGACTGCCACCGAAAAAAGAGAGTCTATTGGATACGGCCCATTATTTTGCCTCGTAACAGGTCACCTACGGACCCCTGATTTTACTGAAGATTATTTTCTGCAACCATATGATCTGTATATCGTTCATTTCTGTAATCAGTATTATATCACCTAATTCTTTTATTTTCGTTTTTTATTCATTATACGTTTCTACCCCACTATTCTCTTTTCTTTAAGTGTTTGGCTTAATTTTATCTTTTCCTATATAAATTGGTCACTGTTCTCTATTCTGTAAATCCCATCCCGACCCTCATCCCACTTTTAAAAGACCAAAGTTTTATTTTTCACTATTTATATTTTTGTTATAAAATACGCAACTTTTTTACCATGTCTACAAGAGATTGATGCATACATTTCCACACGTAAGCCATTTAATTCACAACTGATAAATATAAAAAGTCTAAATTACATACCATGCCTTTAAAAATGTTGCGGAAACCGAATAATTATCTATATTGTATATAATTATGTACCTTCCTTTAAAGGTGATTCAATATTTAAAGGTATTTTTGCAACCTGATATTTTTACTGTTTGTGGGTTAGTTTACCTGTATTATCTGAAAATCAACGATAAACTAAAAATGAAAAAAAAAGGTTGATATTTGATAATTTTGAGGCAAAATGATAATAATATTGTTTCATCTCTGTATAATGTAAAGCATTTTTATTCTCCTTTCGTCTATCATTTTCAGTTTGAAACTACTTTTTGTCCCAAATTATTGAAAAATGAAATCATTAAGAAAACCTTCGGCTGTAATCTGGTCTTAAGTCGGGTTGTTGTCTCTTTGACATATTCCCCATTCCCATTATCAATTTTATCTATTCTACTATTTGAATTTTATTGATAAAGACCTAATATAGGAATATGTACAAATTACACCAATTGCACATTGATCTCTGTGGGAAAATGACCTTTTGTACTAATACTATTTTGAAAAATCACAGATAGTTTTGGGGTGCTATGCCGCGCGTCAAGGAAAGGACACTTAATGATTTCAACATAACACACATGAGGCCAAATGATTTTTTTTTTATTATAGATGATGATGGATGGCTATTGAACGTCCAGTGTCAAATTTAATTCTTATTCCGGAAAAGAACGAATTAATACCATATAAGAATGTGCATATCTGAACACTGCTCTATACTAGGCCAACACGTTAAGCCAGCTTTTTACTGTAGTGTTTGTTGCTGTTTCCGGACTTATTTTTTTAAACATAAGCAGACAAGTCCTAGCTCTTTCTCTCTACTTTAACACTGCTGGCCTAGCAGATAAGCAGCAAGTACCAATTTTCGGGTCTTTGGTTTTCACCCGACCGGGACTCCAACCCGTCACATTTTCTTTCCAATTTCAACATTTTCATGCATTCATCTTTTTCATTTTATTCTAGAATGCAAACTGATAGTAATAACAGCAAAAAGAATACTAGTAAGAAAAAAACCCATACCCAGTAGTAAAATAAATAAATTATCAGAAGAACAATATAAACAGGAAATATCGCCGGAGGTCAAAAGGAAAAGGAATAGGAAGTCACTATTTGAGCAGATATATTAAGCTTCTGTATAATATGAGACTTGTGGAACTTAAGTTAAAAGTAACAGTCTATACTACACGAATTAATGTTGTTTTACTGATAAAATTTCGTGACGAAAAAAATAATATTTGATCCAAAATATAAGTGTGTCTTACCTCAAACAAAGTAAACATAAGGAAGTGATTTACATTGCGCAGGGCAGATGTTATCACCCAACTGACGAGATAAAATTATGGGCGTTCGAGCAGAAAAAATAGCTAAAATTAGACTTTTTTCCCATTAAAAAGACATTTTCGGAAAATAATTTAACTTATATCAAAGTGAAAAAAACTATTCTAGTATGTCAATGGTATGAATTTCGATACACAACTTATCTGCAATTCAAAAGTATATAAATTTGTTAATATGTAATTTTTCAATGATGGCCTTATACAATTAGCTTAAAAGGAAAGTGCGGACAGAAAGTAATATTTATAATAAATAAAAGGTAGAATGTACACAACAAATATCTCTCAACATCCGATCAGGACCCAAAAATAATAATTTAGAAGGAGAAGAAGAAAAACGGATCAAAAACGTTAAGTCTCAATGTTTTGTCAATTAATTGGTGCATGCTAAATTTCCAGTGGCAAATATTTCATGCATATTCAATACGGTCGATGTGGCAACTAAATGGTAACAGAAGTCGTCAACTCAATCTTCAAATGTGATTATGTCCTTATTTTACTTGACTTTTTGTTAAAATATTCCAGGAGTGCATCATATTTTTATTTTCAAGATTTTGCCAGGTGAGCAATTCAGGATCTTAGGAGCCTACATTTTTTTAAATATTAACGTTTGTTATGAAAACTGTAAAACAACTTAATAGCTTGACAGCATAAATGCACCTACCTTTACATATGATAATAATCCGAAGAATGTTCTTTTATTCCAATCTTGATTTTTTCAAAATTGTTTTGTATTTTTCTCTGTTCCATATAACACTGATTGGAACCAGCCTTTTCAATTAATTGGTTGTAACAATGCATGATGGACTACTAGGTGTTTACAATCAACCGAGAACGCGCGTTACTTACTGAAATACGACACATTTTTTTTTATGCATTGCGGGATTAAAAAATTTGCTTAGCTTTTCAGCTTGTAGTCCGTGATATAAAGTATTCGTTCCATGCTCAGGTTAACAAAGAATTGTTTCTATGCGAAGAAACGAATGTTTGGATGACCCGAAACATAGCATTTAAGATGATTGATGATGACATGGAGATTGTATTCGTCTACAAGACAGCAACCAAACAACAGTGAAAAACTCATTAAGCCATAAGACAAACTATCTAGTGTGAAGCTAGTCGTCGAAAATATTCATAAGGCCAGCAACTTTCATATAGATAGACAGAAAAAAAATAAGGGATCATTGCATTTTGTGTTCTTAAAAAGGGGAAGACTTAGAGTGTGTCAAATATCAAAATATCACAGCTTTCCATGAAATTGATGTTATGATATTGTACCTTCTTTCACGATTAAAAATTCATTTAAATCGAGGAAGGGAATGTATTTTTATTAATTTGTGTTTAAGAAATAAAGCACATGTAATCATCAATCGGGGCAATTTATAGCCGACTATACGGTATGGGTTTTTCTCATAGTTGATGGTATTACGGTTATCTATTATTACTTACAACCACTTCATTTGAACTTTGGTGGATAGTTGTTACATTGGCAATAATGATGGGCCTGATGGGTTATTTTCGTTCTTCGTGATCGACGCATTTTCGCTATCGTGATCCGTTTTTCTAGATTTTTTTTTTTTATATTTTCGTGATCCGTGATCATGGAAAATTATTTTCTATGAATCGTGATTGACAAAAAAATCAACTCGTGAATCGTGATGAGACTCCCCCCCCCCCCCCCCCCCCCCCCCATCAGGCCCCTCAATAATACCACATCTCCTTATTTTTAAACACAAACACCATTCAGAAAGATAATTCCATTATTAGATATTTACTGTAAAATACTGTGTAATATTTTATATTTAGAATTTGACAGGTACAGAACATGTATACAGCCTATATCATCTATCATATGACGACAAATCTGTGGATACGTCACATCCGGTTGCATACATGTAGGAAAATAGGTCGAAAAAATATTCCCTTGAATTTGACAGTTGTAGGTAATAAATCCTACATTTTATTGCAGAAAAACATTTCTTGGTCATAAAAATATATCTTGGGTAATTCAAAGCACCGTTATTTTTCTATTTGGGGTTTCTAAAGAATATTTTGGAAATTTGAGGTTACA